ATTTTGGTGGCTGGGTCTGACGAGGATTGCGAGGAGTTGCTTGGTTCTCTCAACAGGAAATTTCCCACCAAAAACCTTGGTTGTCAATGGTTTGATGGGCGTGCCATCGAGAGAGATGTAGATGCTGGGACTCTTAGAATCTCCCAAACCGCGTATATCGACAGCATGGTTGAACGCTTCGATGTGAAATCAACTTCCCGCATCCCCGCTACCCCTGGTGCCGATCTAGGGCCGAAGCGAGAGGATGAGGAAGGAGGGGAGTGGCCGGTGAGGGAGGCCATCGGCAGCATGATGTGGGTGTCGACTTTCTCGCGTCCAGACGTCTCGTTCGCCGTGCGTGCGGTAGCGCGCCACGCCCACGCCCCGGCGAAGCGGCACTGGGATGCCATACAGAAGATCCTCGGCTACCTGAAAGGGACGAGGGACCTCGGCATCACCTACCAACGGGGATTGGGGTTAGGGCTGGCCGTGTACGTAGACGCTAGCTACGCCGACACGGAGGATAGGCGTTCGGTGTCAGGGTTGGCGACGACGGTTGGAGGTGCCGTAGTCAGCCATGGTAGCAAGACGCAGAGCATCGTGTCTTTGCCTTCGACGGAAGCCGAGTACATTGCTGCCGGGGAGGGCGTCAAGAAGGCGTTGTTTGTGCGTGCTGTGCTTTCGTTTGTTGCCCTAGAGACCAGTGGTAGCAGCATCCAGGTCCTTGAGGACAACCAGGGGGCCATAGCGTTGGTGCAGAACCCTCTCAACTCAGGTCGCACGAAACACACATCGACGTGCGGTTTCATTTCATCCGCGGATTGTTTAGGCCGAGGGATATTTCGGTCAACTTTGTCCCGACAACGGATCAACACGCGGACCTCCTCACCAAGGCCCTTAGCAGGGCCGGTCTGCAGTATCACCGGCGCAAGCTGATGAATACACTGCAGACTGGTGGTCCGCGATTTTCCAAACGATGCTTCCATCAAGATCGGTGACCAAATAACAGGATTGTTGAACTAACTGTGGTGCGGTCCGATTTTGAAACACTTCAAGTACCTTTGCTTATGGCTAGACCTGCATCGACATGACCCCAGGCATTCAAATCGACTATTGTATGGCGACGAGTAGGACATGTTAGGGAAGAGCTGCGCTTAAGCTCGCCGCCCCACACACTCACATAGGCGCTGATTCGCCGTGACAAGTTCGTCCCCAACATCGCCAGAATAAAAAAAACGCATTCGGCCTCTGATCACTCTTCTTCTCAAGAAGAAGGTGGAGTTTCTCTTCACCCCCTCTGTGGAGCATGTCGTTCGCGTCCCGTTACCGACCACAAATCTCTTGAGCTTTTTGCCAAGGTGGGGGGAATCATGCCCGGATTCAACGTTGGCTTGAATTCATTTCCGCTTACAGCTATGCATGCACTCTGGAGTATCGCAAGCAATGACTACATTTTTTGACATTTCTATGGACGGACGTGTCCATGGACACCGGAAAGACGCCCGTGGACGTTGTCCGTGGACATGTCCAGTGAATTGTCCGTGGCCAAGTCCACGGACGCGTCCGCCCACGACCGCGGACGGTCCACGGAAACGTCCATGGACGTCCACAAACGTCCACGGACACGGACGAGATGCTTTATTACAATAGTGCTGCAACAACTCCGACAATCCATATTGGATGTGTAGACTAGAATGTATAGTTTTCTGTGCACACCGGGGACAGAAGATGTCACACCCCTGGCCCCAATGACCACCGCAAAAAGTGCACGGTGCCAACATGGTGGTCAGTGTCGTATATGACATAAGGTATACCCCCCCCTCGGCCCATGTAACAACGATCGATGACGACGTAGTCCACAGCGGTATGGGGGTGTCGGAATAGTGTCGTGAGGGTTTCTCAAAAGCTATCGCTTTGATCTATAGGTCTAGATAGAATATGCTCTTCCGTCGCGAAATGACAAACAACTTTCTTAGAATGTTCACGATCCAGGGGTCGGGTGTAATATCTTGGTCACCTCCGTTTGTCTATTGCACAACAGAGGCGACCCAACATTTTGTATTCCATCTATTGATTTTCACACACAACCCTCATCATGAATGATGAATCGAGGAATTATACCTACGCTGGCAATCCAACGTCAGACGCTCGGGAGACGCTCTCGGTACTCCACAGCAGCTCAGTAGAGATTTGACGATCTCTGTCATGGGGCACTGTACCATGACACACCATGAGAATATACTATTTTGCCCCAGACTCGCTGAGGTACAACAATAGTCATGACGTTTGACCCAATGTGCGGCCAAAAAAACAAGTGCCGACGCCTAACCCCAAAACTAAATTTTGGGTCTCCCGGGGGGGGGGGGGAGGC